TCTGTAATACAAGAAGCTGATATGCTGAATCAATTGTTACTAAAGCAGCTTCTCAGGTTTTTTTCCAATGAATTCCCTGGAGGGCTGAACTTCCTAAAACAGTAGAAAGTAAAGGCAAGGGATAGTGTGCAATTAAAGGGCAAACTAATACCATGCATTTTACTCCTTAGCAAAAAAGCTGAGGAAAACAGAATGGCCAGAAAGTACAGAGAGAAGTCAGGAGAAGCAAGTGCTTTCTCCTCTTCGGTATTTCAGCAGACCCTCTTCCCTTCATAAACTGGGATGAATTCAACTCTCTGCTTTCGCTAGCCTTGGCTCCAGCTGCCCGGTCTTGTAATAGAAAATGTGGCAGTAGTAAGGGCTGAGTAGCCCTTACCCAAAATACTTGGACCAGAAGGGTTTCAGTCTTTTGTGGATTTTGCAATATTTGCATATACATAATGAGCTATCTTAGGGATGGAACTGAAGCCTGAACATGAAATTTATCTTTGTTTCATATACACCTTATACACATAGCCTGAAGGTAATTTTATACGATATTTTTTAAACAATTTTGCGCCTGAAATAAACTTTGTTTCAGGCACAAAACTGTTAAAAAAATATATCGTATAAAATTACCATAAGCAGGCAGATCGACTGCTTGAGACCAGAGTTTGAGACCAACCTGGCCAACATGGCAAAGCCTCGTCTCTACTAAAAATACAAAAATCAGAAATCAAGTGTCAGGTGTGGAATTTCTCACGTGTTGTGTCATGCCTGTACTTAGAAAGTTCTGGATTCTGGAGCACTTCAGATATTGGATTTTCGGATTAAGGAAACCTAACCTGCATTTTAAAATAGCATTTTCGGCTGCGCGCAGTGACTCATGCCTGTTGTAACCCCAGCACTTTGGAAGGCTGAGGTGGGTGGATCACCTGAGGTTAGGAGTTCAAGACCAGCCTGGACAACATGGTGAAACCCTGTCTCTACTAAAAAATACAAAAATTAGCTGGGCATGGTGGCCTATAATCCCAGCTACTCAAGAGGCTGAGGCACAAGAATCACTTGAACCCAGGAGGCAGAGATTGCAGTGAGCCAAGATCGTACCACTGTACTCTAGCCTGAGCGATAGAGCGAGACTCCGTCTCAAAATAAAATAAAATAGCATTTTCATACTAAATACTGCATTGTACTTACAAGCTTAAGACTCCTAACCTCAGCTGGCCCCTCAATGCAGTTCAGCAATCTATCTCATAAATTCTTGGCTTCCTACATTGGCCCATCCCCAAACGACCAAAGCTTTTCAATCCTTTCCCATTATCCTTCAGCTTTCCACCCAACCTCTGCAGTCCTTCTGCATGTGCAGATAAACCTGCTTCACAGACAAAATAGCTCCCAACATTCAAACACTCCTTTTACATTCTGTAAAATGCCTGGGAAGAGGCCTCATCCTTAACTGCCTTCCTGTCTCAGAGAAGGGGAGTCATTTTTCGTCACCTGCACTCACCTAATAGCCATCCCTACAGCCCTGGACACCACCCAGTCCCTTCCCCTTCTCTGGAACCTGCTCTATCTGTTAGCCCTTCCTTTCTTTATCTTCAGGCTCTCCCTGTCCAGGGATTTTTTTTCCTGTAAGTGTATAAACATGTTCAACTTACTTTTGCCATCCAGGCAACCATCAAAAGCTATACTCCCGCCTCTTCAGTCCCTTTGCTGACCAAAATGGCAATTTATCCAAACAGCTTCACCTAACTCTACTTTCACTAATTTCTCAATCCATCCTAGCTCATCTCTTCTATCTCCTCTTCACTAGCCCATGCCTTACTGAACCTACTCTAATTTAGATACCAATGATCTAAATGCCAAAAAAAAAAGCCTGCTTTCTCCTCAGTGGCTGATACTTGTGGAAACTTTTTATCCTTAACGGTGTTGAAAACACTTTTTCTCCTCCTTCTCTTCCCAAAACCTCATTTTACCTGTACTCTTTTCTGCCTACTTCTTAAATACCTAAAGGAGCCATACTTGACACTCATACTCTACAAGCATGCTCTGGAGACCACCATCCACTTCCATACATGATACTGCCTACATTCTTATTATCCTCAATTTATTCCTCTAGCCACAAACTCTCTCAAAAGCACCAAAGTCACATCTTTTCAACTGCCTAGAAAAAACATTCACCAGCAAGCACCTCAAACTGTAACAGGTCAAAAATCTTCCCCCTGCCCCCGCCCTTCCCCACCAAACCTAGTCCTCCTTTCAGGTAACGGCATGACCAGGCACCCAATCTCCCAAGGTAGAAAACTTAGGGTCATCCTTGAATTGCCTTTCTTCCTCACACCCCAGCCTCTTTCATCTATCATCAAATCTCATCCATTTTACTTCATAATCTCTTGAATGCAGCTACCTCTCTGTCCCCTTTACTATTAATGTACTTCATATCTTCATCTCATATGTGAATCATTTCAACAGTTCTCTACTACTAATCTCTCCCTGACTTAGTCTTACTCCACATACCAGGATTATTGTCCTAAAATAATTTCAAAATTGAAACGGGATACCATATTTTTCTCTACCAGACTGGCAAAAACTAAAAAGAAAAATAATACTCTGTATTGGTTAGAGTGTGGGGAAACGAACATTCCCATAAACTTGATGAGGGGAATATTAAAGCAAAATACCAAGGGAATTTAACCAAACTTGAAGCATAACCAAACTTGCAAATACGTATACCCTTTGATCTACCAATTCTATTTCCACGAATTTATTTTAAGGAATAAAACAGAATGTACACAAGATCTATAAGTATATCCTTAAGTTCCCATCAATATCAGCGAAGGCTAGAACCTTTTTTTTGTTTTTAACATACTATACTATTTGCCTGGAATGTCTTTCTGCCACCCATACCCTCCTACATCCTGTAAAACTAGAATTCATCCTTGATTTCAAAAGTCAGCTACTCCATCCGGTCTCCATGGCAGTTTAGTCACACCTCTGAATCACACTACAAACTTCTCTCCCACAGCAGATCATAAGCTCTCCAGGGATATGGTTTTATGTATGTATTTATTTAGCATGCCTCTGTATCTATGCTACCTACAACAATGTCTCACACATTAAGGGTCCAATAAACATGTGTTGAATAAAGGCATTTTCTTCCTCTTTCCACAAAGAATTCTTTTTCAAAATCTCAAGGAGTTTTCAAAGGAGTTTCAAAATCTCAAAGAAGTTTCCTAAAATGCTGGTGGACTTCAATATATTAATGCTATATTAAATTCCTGTATTAAAACAGGTATTCAAGCAAAGCAAATATTCTTGTAAATTTATAAATAGTCTAAATCCTTTATATTTGAAGTTTAATTCCTTAAGGCATAATAATTTCCATACTGGGTCAGAACCGTGGCCTAGCCAACCTAGAATTTTATCTCTGAAAGTGGTACCAACGAATATGTTGTAAGAAGATAACAGCTGTCCTTGTAGATGCTAAGATAAACATTTAAAGGTATGCTTCAAAATACTTTACTTTTCTCCAATAACCTAGTATGAATTCATCATACTTGATACCATGTTTTGGAATCATGCTTCATACTACGAAATCATGTTTCATACTCTTCATGTTATCTGTTATATAGTATTTTACATATTATATAAGTACATAAGTATTACATAAACAGTACTGTGTATCCATATTCAAGAAAATAAGTAGCAGCACAGTGTCTGACACCTGTAATCCCCGCACTTTAGGAGGTCGAGGCAGGCAGACTGCCTGAGCTCAGGGATTCGAGACCATGCTAGGCAACATGGCAAAACCCCATCTCTACTAAAAATACAAAAAATTAGCTGTACATGGTGGTATGCACCTACAATCCCAGCTACTCAGGAGGCCGAGGCACAAGAATCACCTGCACTCAGAGCGCAGACGTTGCAGTGAGCCAAGATCGTGCCACTGCACGTCAGCCTGGGCGACCGAGCAAGACTCTGTCTCCAAAACAAATAAACAAAAAGAATATAAGTAGCTTGGTTAGACTTCTTTTTTTCCCCCCAAGTTGAAGTCCTTTTAGGTTTCAAGAGGGTTCATTAATTCTAATAAAGGTTGATAAAAGCCTAATCACATCCTTCATGATTCCAAAGTTCAGTCGGTTCTATCCCTTTCAGCATTTTTGTTTTGTTTTGTTTTGAGGAGTCTTGCTCTGTCGTCCAGGCTGGAGCACAGTGGCACAATCTTGGCTCATTGCAACCTCTGTGTCCCAGGTTCAAGTGATTCTCCTACCTCAGCCTCCTGAGTAGCTGGGATTACAGGTGCCCGCCACCACACCCGGCTAATTTTTTTTATTTTTAGTAGAGACGGGGTTTCGCCACGTTGGCCAGGCTGATCTCAAACTCCTGACCTCAGGTGATCCACCTGCCTCGGCCTCCCAAAGTGCTGGGATTACAGGGGTGAGCCACCATGCCTGGCCTCAGCCTTTGTCTTTCTAAACTGAAGAAATCTCACTGTCCTCTTGTGTCTTTATATAGAAACAACTCTACTCTGCATCATTTCACTTTCTTTTTTTTTTTTTTTTTTTCCCTAAGACAAAGTCTCACTCTGTTATCCAGACTGGAGTACAATGGCATAATCTCGGCTTATTGCAACCTCCGCCTGCTGGGTTCAAGTGGTTGTCCTGCCTCCTGAATAGCTGGGACTACAGGCATATGCTACCACACCCGGCTAATTTTTGTATTTTTAGTAGAGATGGGGTTTCACCATGTTGGCCAGGCTGTTCTCGAACCCCTGGCCTCAGGTGATCCATCTACCTCAGCCTCCCAAAGTGCTGGGATTACAGGCGTGAGCCACCACACCTGGCCTTACTTAATTTTCAGTTATCTTGTAGCCTCCAAACTAAAACAACAATGTAGGTAGGTCTATGAGATTTACTTTAATTTTATATACATTTAAAATCAAGAAAATTTTACCCCTGATATAAATTAGGAAAGGCAGCCTTCGAAAACACCTTTGACAATCACTGTACCCCAAGACTTACAGGAAATCATAAGGTAGTCCTCGCAGTTGCCTTTGTCATCATCTTGCTGGTCCACAGGGATCCCATTGGCATCTATGACTGCTTCAGAGGCACAGTCTGCTACCAATACTTCTTCTGAAACTACGTCGGTGGTCAGAGGATCCGTGACAATTTCTGCTTCTACTACACTATCATGAACCACATGTTCAACATGTCCAACATGTCCAACATCAGACACATGTATAGATTCACTCGTCAAGACGTGTTCTGGCATAGACATTGAGGCTGAAGTAATGTCAGAAGCTAAAACATCATCTGGGACGGTGCAATGTGCTAAAGAAACTTCTTCAGTTACATCTGAGTCCAGCACTTGCTCAGGAATGATGACTGTTTCAGATACATCTGCTTCTTCCATGATATCTGGGCACTGAACATCTTCTATAACAACGTCCTCAATAACATCTTGGATTACAACCGAATCTGGGTCATCAGGAACAAAGTTATGCACAGTTATGTCTGAATCCACAACATCTGAAACAAAAACAGTTTCTTGTACTTCCACAACAATTTGATCACCATCCATGTGTGTACCATCAGCTCCTTAAAAAAATAAAAATTAAAATGACAAATTTCAGGTAAGTATGCATGACAACAATTAATGTAAATGATACTTAATTTCTACTGGGAAAACGGACTGGCTCCTCAGTTTTCTTAAACATTAACAAAGGTTAAAGAAATAAAGAGGGAATCTATTTTTGAATCATATTAGAAAGATGTTTTTAACACAAGAACTTTTCAATCATCCCAAATCAATGAATAGATTTTTTTTAATTAGGAGAACAAAGCAACTGAGGCAGTCACAGAAGAACTATATTCATGAAAGTAAAATTCTAGGCACACTAATAAAATCCATATACAGCCAGGTGCAATGGCTCACGCCTGTATTCTCAGCACTGGGAAGCCAAGATGGGCAGATGACTTGAAGCCAGGAGTTTGAGACCAGTCTGGGTAACATTGCGAAACCCCATCTCTATTAAAAATACAAAAATTAGCCCGGGTGTGGTGGTACAATCCTATCCCAGCTTCTTGGGAGGCTGAAGCAGGAGAATTGCTTAAACCCGGGAGGCGGAGGTTGCAGTGAGCTGAGGTGGTACTGCTGCACTCCAGCCTGGGTGACAAGAGCAAGACTCTGCTGAAAAGAAAAAAAAAAGTCCATATACATAGGTACTTAAGGGAAGATTATAAAAATTAAGTAACGCAACTTCAGGTGACAAATATACTGTTTTCCCTCGGTATATGTGTTTTACCTTTTTGCTCCACCTCCCTCTCCTCAACTCATATTTGTTCTTCTTTTCATCTCTCCTATGTGTTTTACTTTTACTTTTTTTCCTTTCTCCCTTCACATGCTTCCTTTTTTGCTCTGGTGCATTATACCACCAATATGCTCCATGTACAGCTACAGAAATTTAGCAATCATCCTCTGAATCTAGGACATACAAGGATCAGAGGATAAATTAAAAGAGGGACAAAAGGCCACAGTTGAGGAGGCTCTGGGGACAGATAGGATAAATACAAGTGCAGCTGTGCTGGGATGGTGGAGGGTGAGAGTAGTTGCAGCGGGAGCTGCCCCTACTTCAGCAGGGTACACTGCCTCCATCTAGCCTCCTTCCGTTCCCCTAGATACCAACTCCCAAGGCAGTCACATAGGAAACTCTAGTCAATTTTGCAGTTAAGGAATGAAGGTAGAGGATTCAATCAATTGAAGCCCAGTGAGATTAAATGACTTCACCAAGATCACACAGTTTGCACAGTGTATGGCGCTCAGAAAATATTATTCTGAATGAATGTCACAAATGGAAATAGAAATCATATATCCTTTCCAAAAATATAAGATAAAATAAACAAAATATCTTGGCTTCTGTTCTAGAGAAAAGTAAAGAAAGTTTTACAAAAGCCTTACCTAAATAGCTATTCAGCAGATTAGTGCCTCTGGTTGACTCAGACCAGGCTGCGTCCAACCAGGTACCTAACTCAATGACTATGTGTCACTGGACAGGCCCTTAGAGAAACACATAGCTTAATCAACAAACAAAAATGATCAGGCCCAGCACAGCAGCTCATGCCTGTATTACCAGCACTTTGAGAGGCCAAGTGATGTCAGGGATTCAAGACCAGCCTGGCTAACATGGTGAAACCCCATCTCTACTAAAAATATAAAAATTAGCCAAGCATGCTGGTACATGCCTATAATCCCAGCTACTCGGGGGGCTGAGGCAGGAGAATCGCTGGAACCCAGAAGGTGGAGGTTGCAGTGAGCCTCGACTACACCACTGCACTCTAGCCTGGGCAAGAGAGAGAGGCTCTACTTAAAAAAAAAAAAAAAAAAAAAAAAAAGAAAGAAAAGAAAAGAAAAACCAAAGGCTAAAGAATATTAAAAATTATAGAAAGTCAACTAATATCTATTTTAATTACATCTAGAAATAATAAAAAGAATATGTTCACTTTAGGCTAGGCGTGATGGCTCATGCCTATAATCCCAGCACTTTGGGAGGCTGAGGCAGGTGGATCACCTGAGGTGGGGAGTTCGAGACCAGCCTGACCAACATGGAGAAACCCTGTCTCTACTAAAAATACAAAATTAGCCGGGCATGGTGGCACATGCCTGTAATCCCAGCTACTTGGGAGCCTGAGGCAAGAGAATTGCTTGAACACGGGAGGCAGAGGTTGCAGTGAGCCGAGATCACGCCATTGCACTCCAGCCTGGGCAACAAGAGCAAAACTCTGTCTCAAAAAAAAAACAGAATATGTTCACTTTAATTTCAACAGAACTTTTACAAAATGCTAATATTTGTTTTCAATGTTATCATTAGGCAATAAATCACTAATTTCCATTTTACATACATAAAGATAAAAACATTTAGTGGCAAGAACACTGATTACAAAATGTAAATCAGCCGGGGATGGTGGCTCACGCCTGTAATGCCAGCACTGTGGGAGGCTGAGGCAGGCGGGTCACTTGAGGTCAGGAGTTCCATACCAGTTTGGCCAACATGGCAAAACTCTATCTCTACTAAAAATACAAAAATTAGCCATGCATGGTGATCTGCACCAGTAATCTCAGCTACTCGGGAGGCTGAGACAGGAGAATCACTTGAACCAGGGAGGCGGAGGTTGCAGTGAGCAGAGGTCGCAGTCACTGCACTCCAGTCTGGGCCACAGAGTTAAGACTCCATCTCAAAAGCAAAACAAAACAAAACCCATAATCTAAATCAGAGAGTACAGCAGGGTAGGAGACTTTATTAGTTTTGTGACCTTGGGCAAGTCATTCAACCTCTGAGTTTCAGTTTCCTCATCAGTAAAATGAGGACAGTAGGATCTGCCATGCATACCTCACAGGACTGTGGTGATGATCAAATGGGAATGTATGGGAAGTGTTCTGAAAAACTGTAATGAGAGGTTTCATTATTATTATGACATATGAAAACAGAGGCCCTGGCAGATTAAGTGACTTGCTCAAAGATAAATACCGTAAGTGTTATTAATCAAGACTAAAATGCAATACCCTTCAATCTACCACTTAGCCCATGACCTAGGCTTGCCTGTGGCGAGATTAAGTGAACAAACACTGCACATTTTTCTCCAAAGAGTTTAGTCCCTCCTTCAAGTATATTAATTATATTTCATGCTCCAAGAAAGAAAGAATTACAAACTTTATGTTTATCATTATCAAATTGAAATTGCCAAACCTGAGTTAAAAGACTATCCCAAGTTGTTAAGAAACAACACACACACATCCCCACTGGATTTAGAGACTAAAGAAAATTTTAAAATTTGGCCAAGCACAGTGGCTCACACCTGTAATCTCAGCACTACGGGAGGCCAAGGCGAGAGGATCACTTGAGTCCAGGAGTTCCAGACCAGCCTGGGCAACATAGTAAGACCCCCATCTCCACAAAATAAAATTAGCTGGGCTTGATAGCACACACCTGTAGTCCGAGCTACTTGGAAAGCTGAGATAGGAGGATCCCTTGAGCACAGGAGTTTGAGGTTACAATGAACTACGATCATGCCATCGTGCTCTAGCCTAGCCAATAGGGTGAGACCCTGTCTCTAGAAGAAAAATAAATTGATAATAAAAAGAAAATTTAAAAATTTTAAATCACTGACATTTAATTTCCTGATAAAGTTCATTGCTATTCCTTTAATATACTACAATCTGATCATTCACAGTCCAATGGAAAACTTATTAACATTTTATTTTTAATTAAGGGTAGCTACCTGGTGTTGACATAAAACCCTTTTATATTTTTTTTCCTTTTTTTTCTCTTTCAAGACAGAGTCTTGCTCTATCACCCAGACTGGAGTGCAGTGGCACGATCTCAGCTCACTGCAACATCTACCTCCTAGGTTCAAGCAATTCTCGTGCCTCAGCCTCCCAAGTAGCTGGGGTTACAGGTGTGCACCATCATGCCCAGCTAATTTTTTTGTATTTGTAGTAGAAACAGGGTTTCAGTATGTTGGCCAGGTTGGTCTTGAACTCCTGGCCTCAAGTGATCCACCCACTGTGGCCTCCCAAAGTGCCGGTATTACAGGCATGAGCCACCTCGTCTGGCCTCAAAACCCTTTTATATTATAAAACCAAGTATAGGCCAAGCGTGGTAGCTCACGCCTATAATCCCAATACTTACATAAGAAGCTGAGGCAGGCAGATCACATGAGCCCAGGGGTTCAAGACCAGACTAGGCAACATGGCAAAACCCCATCTCTACCCAAAAAAAAAAAAAAAAATTAGCCAGGCATTGTGGCACACACCTGTAGCCCTAGTTACTCGGGAAGCTGACCAGAAGATCACTTGAGCCTGGGAGGCAGAGGTTGCAGTGGGCCAAGATGGCGCCACTGTGCTCCAGCCTAGGTGACAGAACAAGACCCTATCTGAAAACTAACAAACAAAAAAAACCCAAAACACAAGTGTAATCACTTTGTAACATTATATAATTATAACCATGGGTAATCTGAAATACATTTTTTCTAATACTTTTTTTTTTCCCTATTTTTTAGAACTTTCTGAGTATAATTTTCCTTGTACACTCTGGGGAGTGAAGACTCCATCTTCCTGAAACAGAAGTCTCCTTTTGGGAACTTGTAAGAGAGAGGGTTATAAAAATAGGACAGTGTCAATGTGGGGGACCTTCTTTATCTGCTGGGTATTGGAGAACAGAGAAATGACAGGATCCACATGTTATTTTACAATGAGTACTCTGATCAGCAGGCTAGATAAGAGAGACTAAGGGTAAGAAAAATAATGCAAAAGTTATTTCAGACTAAGTATGAGACGATAGAGCCTGTCTATGTGGTAGGCACTAGGATGAAGAAGAGCAGATGTAAACAAAGAATATTTTTTCTTTTTCCTTTTTTAAACAAAGGTCCAAACAAAGCTAACAAGCAATACTTTTAAAGGGAGAACCAACAGGAATTCAGGACATAACTGGGTAAGATATTATCTTCATAACTGAAGATAAAACTAAGGCTTTGATATCACTGCTGTCACTGACAAGAATATGAGAGTTGGTTCTGAGGAGCCACCTCTTTGAGGAGGGTAATAATAATATGCTCACTGTAACATCTATGAATTTTGACAGGATAACAAGATAACCTAAGTGTGATTTATCAATGTTAGACTTCTAGCAATTTATTGATGTGATAACCAATTCCAAATCTGGTAGATGGGAAATGGAACAATTCAAGCAGTTATACCTGTTGCATCAAAAAATGAGTTTGGCTCTTGTGGTTGTAATTCAAGCCCATCTTCATCCATGGCCTTTAATTCTCATCAGTCACAGCTCCTAAATCAGGGGAAAAGGTAAACCAAAGCCATTAGTTTTTTAATATCATGTATTAAAATGTCACCATGATAGTTTCATTTCTGAGACACTCAAATTCTGTGAAAGATAAATGTGTATCAAAAATGTATCTATCTAATGTAAAAGAGAACTTAAGTGATTTACAATGGTATATGGGCATCTATATGACAAGGCAGGGCAGATAAATCAAACAAGTCAACTTTGCCTGGACTTCTTTTTAAGTTGAAGTAATCAATGTATTGCTTACGTCCATTAAGTGAGCGTATCTTGATGAATTCTGATACATACATAAACCTTTGTAATCACTACTCTGAACAAAATATAGAACATTTTTAGGACCCCAACACTCTTATCTCCTCAGTCTGTAACACCCCATGTTCCCAAAAGGGTAACCAGTTTTGTTAAGGTTCGACTTAAAACACATTGTGTAGCTTATTGTGGGAAATGTTTGTACAATTTTCATATTCTCTAAATTTAATTAGAGAATATGGAAATTCTCTACTAACTTCCAACCAGTGGATTGAACACAGCAAAAATTCAAAGTACATAACTGTAATAAACAACCTTTGGGATTCTGCCTAACCTCTCTTAACTAACCCTCATCTAAAGAAGTAAATTCCCACAGTGTATTTATACTCTCCTGGCCACAGTTGATTGGCACTAGCTATAAAGTGGTAAAAAGTAAGTTCATCTTTAAGCACAATAAAATCAAAGTCCTATCCCTGAGAATCAAAAACCATGAGCAAGAATCAGTCCCTTCCCCTTCCTCCCTCCCAGTGGCTGGAACATAAGAGTTGAGGAAAGTCATTTTGCAACTCTGGCTTAGACTAGTAAATAAAAAGAATCCTGTGAGTGCTTTGAGTAACAGAATAGAGTAAGCAGGGAGGGGAGACAGTTTTTTAGCTCCTGGTTCTAGATCTATATTGAGGTCCAGCTATAACCCTGCCTTCAATTTTTATAAGACATTCCAATGGCCTTAATTCTCCCTTTTCTACTTAAGTCAAAAACTTATGACAAAAAGAACCCTAACCAATGATTTTGGCTTTATCATTTTTTTGCTAATTGTATAAGTACTACATGCTTATTAAAATTTCAAATAACAGAAACACAAGTCATTTTTCTAAAGCTAGGTGACATCATTCCTCTGTTCAAAAATGTTTAATAACTCCCTGCTCCCTCTACATAAAGTTCAAACACCTGTGTCATCTTCTAAGTTCTAGCCCCAAACTACCTTCCCACTATCATCTCTCCTAACTTGCCTTCAAGCACTTCCCTCTACTACCCTTGGCATGTACATAAACACATGTTCCCCACCCACACACAGTTCAGCCAAACAAAAATAATGCTCAACATCCCCATAAAACCCCAACTTTATATTTGATTCAGGGTTCCTTCTACCTGGAACACCTTTCCCCCATTATCTCTGCTTTAATCTTTCCCCCTAAATCTCCTTCCCCACAAAAAAAGAGAAAGCTGGAAATAATTTCTCCCTCTGAAATTTCCACAGCACTCTATTCTTCTCTGACTGTACTGGTTTGTCATATTATGATTATTTATATATGTCTTATTTGCAGATACTAAATTACATATATATAGTCCTTAAAAAACATGGCATAGTAATAGAATATCCATTAAATGAAACTGAGAAAATTTACATTCATAAGAGGGATTCTCAACATATCAACTCTGAGATATATTCTATTCATTTTTAAGAGATAGCATGTTTCATGTTATTTATTCAGACTGTTTCAAATTAAAGTAAATGGGCTAGGTGCAGTGGTTCACACCTGTAATCCCAGCACTGTGGGAGATCGAGGTGGACGATCACCTGAGGTCAGGCATTGGAGACCAGCCTGGCCAACATGGCGAAACCCCTCCTCTACTAAAAAAACAAAAAAATTAGTGGGGCATGGTGGCACATGCCTGTGATCCCAGCTGCTCGGGAGGCAGAGGCAGGAGAATCGCATGAACCTGGGAGGTAGAGGTTGCAGTGAGCTGAGATTGTGCCACTGCACTCCAGCGTGGGTGACAGAGCAAAACCCTGTCTCAAAACAAACAAAAAAAAACTTCTAAACATTATGAAACACTATGACATTAAGCCAATTAAGAAGGCAATAAAGGGGATTCATTATAAGCCCTTAACCATACAAATTTCCCTACATAAACCCAATCCTCTACGAATTCTCAACCTGCAGAACAACTTTTCTTGACATTCATCCTCCTTGGCATTTCTATTATTAGAACTTAACAGACAATCAACTCCCTGATTTCTGAAGTGCTCTCTTTCCTCTATTGCTTTAAGTGACTTCTAGTTCTCTTTCCCCCTTCTTAACTGCTGGCTGCTCTGCCTCCCCTCACCCCTTACTACTGTTCTGCCCAGGGTTGTGTGCTCAACCCTCTCTTCTGCTTTTTCTTTATTCCCATGGTTTCAACTACTACTTCCACAACGAAGATTCCCAAAATCATCCTAACATGTCCAACAGACTATTGAATATTTTCATCTGGATAAACCCCAGCCTTCTCCTGATATGACCACTATGACCTTTTCCTTCTTCCCTCCTCATAAGTCAGATTGCCAGATCTTGTCAACTCTCAATTTCTCAAGAATCCAACCCCGTTTATTTACTTATTTATTTATTTATTTTGAGACAGAGTCTCACTCTGTCACCCAGGTTGCTAGAGTGCAATGGCATGATCTCAGCTCACTGCAACCTCTGCCCCCTGGGTTCATGTGATTTTCCTGCCTCAGCCTCCGGAGTAGCTGGGATTACAGGGGCCTGCCACTGCGCCCGGCTAATTTTTGCATTTTTAGTAGAGACGGGGTTTCACCATCTTGACCAGGCTGGTCTTGAACTCCTGATCTCATGATCCACCTGCCTTGGCCTCTCAGAGTGCTGGGATTTCAGGTGTGAGTCACCGTGCCTGGCCCCTTTCTTTTTTTTTTTTTTTTTTTTAAGTCCTAGTCACCATTCCCACTCAGCTTCATATTTCCTGATCCCAGGGGGATGAAAATAGCCTCTGGACTGGCCTTGTTCCTTTCTGTCACTCCCACGACAAATGACTAGAAGCCCTATTACACATAAGGGCTGGTGCCAAGTACTAAGGCATTTATGCAATCTGTGGGCAGATTAACCTTCCTGAAGCACTGCTTTGATCATAGCACTCCCCTGCTCTGAACACTTCAGCAGTTCTCCAATACTCAGGGGCTCTGCAATATTAACCCAAGCTACCATAACAGACTGATTTGCTTTCTTCCCACCCTTTTACATCATGTGCATTTCCTAACATATTCCGGCCTACATGGGGATGCCCACTCATCTCTTGACTTAAGTGAGCTGTAATTACTCAACAAACTATTGTTTTGCCTGGTCATTTTCCCTTCTGTCATTACAAAAATTCAAACATTCTAAATAGAGATGACTATACCTCAATCTCATAACCCCTCTCAAGTTAGAACTACTAATTCCCTTTGACAATCAGAATGAAACTGTGTTCTCAGAACAGAACCTACTCAGAGGAATTCTCAGATGTGATAAAGAGTGGAAGAAGGTGTGTGATAATGTAACTAGTAGTGTCCACGCCTCTGTAGTACAAACCAAGCCTAGAGATCAGTTGAATCTAAAGACAAATAAGCAGGATGGTTCAGAGAACCAAGAATCTCAGAATTTGGGTGAACAAGCACTAACATTTAGTGTTACTATCAAATGCCCTCAAAGTATTTCTGGGATTCTACTAACATCTCAAACTCAGCAAGATACTACTCCCTTGTCAGTTACAAGAACCATGATCCCAAAAATGCTTCTGAAATAATTTACAATGGAAAAACATCAGTTTTGGGGAACAGATTGTGAGGACAGAAACTTTAAATAAATAAAGAAAAGAAAAACGTATAGTTTTAAGGGAAATAATGGGCTGGGAGAACCCAGGAAATTCACAAAAATTTCCTTCCACTGTTTGAAATAAAACATTATCATCCTAGAAGAAGGTAATCATAAATAAAAAATATAATAAAGCAATAAAAGTTAACAGGTATAGCAATAGCATTTTCTCTATCTTAATTAGGGATCATGGATATAATTTATTTGTTTTATATCTTTTGATGCTTAGACACTTCCATGATCTCCCTCTTGGGCAAGTTAACAGGATTCTTACATATTCACTTTGCTTTTTGCAGCTAATATGCATACAAAAATCACTTTTCTGCTTTTGGTCTCTCAAAACCTCAATGCCTGTTAATTCTATGACTCGACTCTAATTCTTCTCACTAAGTCATGCTCAGACAACCGAATTTTATCATACATGGTAGAAGGAATTCTTACGCTGCAGGAAAGGCAAACAAAGGCAAATCTGTCTATAACAATTCTTCTTGGATGGAAATTAGAACTGGTGAAAACTTATATTTAAAGCCTAATTAATATCTTCTCTCTTAAGCTACATTTCTTTCCTAATTTTCCCCCCATGTTGTTCACTGTTAGCCATCATTTCTCCAAATATCTCATTTCAAATCTGGAGTCATAATTCACTTCTCTGACTACATCAGCCCTTAAATTCATCTCAAAGCCAGTAACTCTTAAATTTATCACTTCCTCTTTATCCTCACGGCTACCACTCTAACAAATTCTCCTCTTCTCACATGCAGACCATGTGGGCCCTTTCAATCCAAAGACTTGAGCCCTTATTGAACTCAAGAAAATTTCTTGTTTCTATACTTTGCTCCATTTTCTCCATTCATTCTAATTAGCATTTTTACTACAGGACATAAAAAGACTGCTAAATCTAGCTTCTATATCGCTTTAACTTTTCTCTCATATTTTCTATCTTTGTCTTTCTACTACATTCTCAGAGAATCCCTGAATTCTTTCTTCTAAGCTAGCTAATTTGATCTCCACCCCATCTACTGATTTTTTCTTTAAAAGATCATATTTTAATTCCAATAGTTTCTTTTCCATAGCAATCTCTTCTTTTTTTGGCGGACACAATAT